TCTCTCTCTCTCTCTCTCTCTCTCTCTCTCTCTCTACCGTGGACCAGGCGATATCGCAGGTAGACACAGAAGGATTCGCCACAAACTGAAGAGCGGCTACTTGCACATCTCTCTGCCCACTCCTCTCTTTTTGCAAGGATCCAGCAATTGTACAAAGTGTCTCCCACAATCACAAAATTACACAACTGCCTCCATCACATCCGAACTCTCTCTCTCTCTCTCTCTCTCTCTCTCTCTCTCTCTCTCTCTCTCTCTCTCTCTCTCTCTCTCCCGCCCCCGGCTTTGTGAGTGTGTTTCTTCTGCAGCTGAGCGATACTGCATGCACGGACGAAAGGTCTCTGTTTGTTTAAACAATGCGAAAATTAAATGTTGTTGCTGCACATTTCAGTTCGCAGTCATGGACCAGTGTCCTGCAGTGCCCACCTGGTTTCATAACAAGGATCTTCCAGTGCCAAAGGAGGCTATCTGTACCAACACATTTTGCAACGGTGGTTTCGCCAGGATGCTGTGGTGGTTTAGGTGGTTTAAGTGGCCTGATTTCTTTCACATTACCAAGTGTAGCGGTGGGTCTGCCCTATCTGCTGCCTGTCACTGTGCATTTAGGTCAGGGTTGTAGCTCCTCTCCGCACAAGGGGCATTCACTCACTGGCTATCCCATATGTCAGCAAGCCATCCTCAAGAGTATATCTCTTGCACCATGCATACATAATTGGAGCGGGTGAAATGACTTCAACGTCAGTGAATGCAAAAACCTGAAGTAGCACCAACACACGCTCACAAACCGAAAAGAGAGAGAAAGATGCAGTTGCCGCTTTCCTTGTATCTTTTGAAAATTTCCAGTGGTCGTCTCCAGCGCTCTGCATTTTATCCCATCATCTCTGATGCCTTCATTTGTCTGCTACACCAGTCCGTTCCAGTCCTGCTGCAGTAAGGAGCGGATTGGAGGGTTTGCTTCACCCACCGTTTTCCTTCCGTCTGTTGTCGTCCTTACTGACCTTGGTTGTCGTGACTCGATCAGCAGATGCGTGTGTCACACTCAACCAGCCTATCGTTCTTTCCAAACAGTAGGCTAATGCAGGTCTTTTTGCGATACCTGGACGTCGATGAGCCTTGCTGTCAAATTGATCAGCCGTAGGCTGCATCAATGCCGTCAGAGGCTTCAGACTCAACCTCGTGCTATCCTTGAACTGCACTTCTTCTTCTCGCTATCTTTCTCCATCCTCCTCCCTCACCTTCGAACAACAAGTACTGTCATTATGCAACAAAGGGAAACAGTAAGAGTATCCTCGAGAGCCCGTTCTCTACTCCGATCAGAAGTCTTTTTTTTTTTTTTCCAGAGATGCGAAGTCCAGATATGACCACCTTAGAAATTCCAGCAAATTATCATATTAAACAGTTTCGGAGTTGGAACCGCCGCAGGGCGAAACTGCGGGGCATCAGCGAGGCCTGTTGGGTCTCGTGGGCACGGCTCACAGGGGGAAGGCGAGGAGGGAGGCTGACCATAGCCGCACCATCGCCGACCGGGGTGACCGGGAAAGGGGGTCTCATGTAAGCAGACGCCCTGCCCAACGGGGAACCGGGGCCTCCCGACATAGCGAATCGCACGTGTGCAGGCCGGGAGAAGCAAGGACAGCGTCCGCGTGAGAAAGGATTTGCGTATGGACTTCGAGCGTGAAGAAATAACGGCACAGTGAAAAGACACCGGGTGCTAAAAACGATAATAGAGCAACAGCAAGACGACATAGTGAGAGGACACCAGCAGTGGAAACGACAATTATGTGACAACACAAAGATTGATCACGAGAGTGGGCATCTAAAAACAGGTACGTTTTGAATAAAAGTGATAAACAGGGGATGGGAAAGGAAGGAAGTGCTAGGGGAGTGTGGAAAAGTGTCGACGAGACTGAGGCCTCGAATACACGTTCCATATATCTGGGGTGACGGCCTTATACGGGTGAACAAGAGTAAGGACGTCAAAGGCTTTCTAGGAGGGAAGGCGTGCGGGGCTGGAGAGGCGGGAAAGTACAGGTGAAGTCCCGGGCAAAAGGTATGCTGAAGTGGCGAATGAGAGTGAAGACAGCGCTGACAGACTAGGTGGGATCTAGAGCAGGAGGTATTGGGGACGGGGGGGACAAAGGAATGAAAGCGAGACAGTACGACGACTGGTAGTGAAGACTGACATCTAAAAAAGGTACGTTTCAAAGAAGGGTTTCGAAGAAGAGTGGTGAGTAGGGGGTGGTGGAAATGAAGGAGGTGTTAAGGAGGTGAGGCAGAAGTGTCGAAGAGACTAAAGTTCGGTCTTACTTAGGCAAAGTGAAGGGTCCTAGGAAGGAAGGCGAGGGGGACAGGAGAGGTGGTAAGGAAAAGACTAAGCCAGGAAAGCGGACTACAATGAGAGAGGCGAAGTCCAGGGTGAATAAAAGTAGGTTGAGGAGGCAAAAGAAGGCAACGGAAGGTGGGCAGCAGGATTGCGGGTGCCGACAGACCACCGGGGTTAGAAAACCGAGGAGCTAGTCTTGGGGACAGGGGAGAGGGGAAAGAACAGCTGTTACATGCTGCGCCTGCACACGAGGGCCATTTCCCAGGCCCTGCGGCCATCAGGCTGAAAGCCTGAAATTCAGGCTTAAAGCCTGAAAACCAGGGCCTACAGGCCCCGTGACTGTTCAGGCCGAAAGCCTGAAAACATGGGCCTACAGTCCCTGTGTCATTTCAGACTAAAAATGGCAACAGCCTTTTTAGCCTGAAACGAAGGGCCATTTTCGGTCGTTCATCAGAACGACCGGCCCTGAAACTCAGGCACCGAACCAGGGTTTSGGGAACAGGCTATTCTTAGCCTGTTCCCCACGCCAGCSTCAGCAGCTGCTGCAGCGCCAGCCCCTGGCACACTTCGGCATTGGCAAGAGCAGCCTCCTCCGCCTGGCTCGCCCTTCAGGCAGTCAGGAGGCAGGCCGATGTAGTACATAGGGACTTCCCATGCACTTCACGGGGAGGCAGGAGGCAGTAGTAGTGTAGCATATCAGGAAGTGAAATGCACCGAGAGCCTAAGATCTAACAATGATGAAAGTGGCAACAACCAGCAGCATAGATGCAACATGCACAAGATGCCAATGTGCTCAATGCAAAGAGTGAACCAACGAGAAATCGACAACAATGCATTCACATCATCATCATCATAGGCTGGGAAAACAGCGCAGCGGAATATTTAGTAATCAAAGGACACGAGGACAGACAAACATGAAAAGAGAGAAACTTCAGAAGGGCAAGACATCAGAAAGATTGCCCTTCCGCTCACACACATGGGGAGAGATCCATAGACATACGAGAGGGAGATCTCCGAATGTCGCACATAGTTCAATCCCAATGTAGAGTACAAGTCCGATCTGAATGTCGTGTCCAATAAGGCAGAATGCCGTGTCCAAACAATGTCTGCAGTAACCTCTATCTCTACTCTGATGAAGAAGAAGAAGAAGAAGAAGAAGATGAAGCCTTCGGAGGAGTAGGAGAAGAAGAGGAGAGAAGAAGAAGAAGAAGAAGAAGAAGAAGAAGAAAGCTAGGCACTTTCTGATCCTACTTACCTGGGTGCTGACTGCAGGTACCGCGGGAGCCCAGCTATGGCGCTGGTAAGTCGCGACAGGTAAGTCCCTCTTCTCTCTCTCTCTCTCTCTCTCTCTCTCTCTCTCTCTCTCTGAACTCCGCTAACTTCCTCGGCGCTGGACTCCTCCAGCGCTGTGCCACATTGCCGAAGAATAGCGCAGCCGGCAGTCTCAAAATAGCGCAGCAGCTCCAAAATAGCGCAGCAGGTGAAATCCTGAACCAGCGTAACGCTGGGTTTCTCCTTGTGTCTTCTGTCCAGAACTGGGCGCTGGCCCAGCTTAAGTAGCGCTGGGCCAGACCCAGTGAGTCTACGGCCTTCGTTCTGGACCGTGCAGATCGAATTCCGATCCACGGTCCAGATCGCAGGCTTCGGACTTGGTTCAGTCCTTGGCCTAAAACGGCCTGCCTGGGTCCCTACCGGACGTCCAGGCCCTGCCCAGGACTGGGCCTGTTCGGTACCTGGTCCGATTCAGGGCCTGTGCGAATGCATCGGGCCTGAACTTCGGTCCAGGTCCGAATGGTCCAAAATCTGTCCGTAAACAAAAAAAGGTCCAAACGTTTTTAGAGGCTCAGCCTCTGGGCCTGAATCTGGCCCTGGCCCTAAAACGGGTACCTGGCCACAAACGGACAACAGCACACACGTTAGAAAAACAGCAGCAGTAAATAAATAAAAAAGATATAAAATAATCTAAAGCTGGCGTTTTTCTGATGCAGGCCCAAGTAAAAATGCCATAGGGCCTTCAGGTTGTGGTGACACGACCTGGGGGCCCTATTCCAACCTCGGGTCCCGTGAGGGGCCCGTGTGTAGGCTCTCAGCATGTAACAAGTAGTCTTCAGGATTCGGCAGCAGCACCCTGGAGGGAGCACTGCAGGGTAGTAGTAGCATTAGCTTTTAGTCTTCAGCGCTGGGCGCAGTGGGTAGCTGTAGTCTCCAGCGCTGGGCGCCATAGCTAGGATAGTACTAAAGAGAGAGAGAGAGAGATTGGGCGGAGGCCAGAGGTACTTACCTGCAGCGCCATTGCTCTAGCTTCGTCTTCGAGGTACCTGCAGCACAGCGCCAACATCACAGGTTAGTCCTGGCTCGTAACAGAGAGAGAGAGTTCTTCTTCTTCCTCTTCTCAGTCCACACACTGCGTGATGAGCATGATGTATGTTGGTCTACGATGAAACATTGATCGGGCTAGTCATCAGTATTCTAGCATTCTGTTCGCTACCTTGTACTCCGTGGTAAAGGTCAGTCTGGGTCAGGTCAGGTCTTGTATCTAAATCTTCCCTGCGCTATTCAGACACCATTTTGCATGTATCGGAATGCACATTGCTAGTTGAGATTCCACTTGCACAGCATTGTCCATTCAGTCCTTTTTATCACATTGCGGATCCTCGGTTATTATGTACATCGCCCAACCGGGCATGTAACAGTTGGTATCGGTGCACCGCACGTGGATCAGGACAAACCTGATCTGACACGTGTGCCGGGACTAAATAGCTGATTAGCTGTGTACAGATCCAGGCCGCCCGGCAGACCGGCGCCTGCCCGGGGGAGGTCCCGGGCGGCCTGGCCGGGCGGGCGGCCCGGTTGGGGGCCGGGCCCCCCCAGCACACCTTAACGGCGGGGGGGTTTCGACCCCGAATCGGCTCCATTTGTTGTTGGCAGGGCCTACCGGGTCCAACTACGCCGAGAAAACGGCGCGTCGGGCCCGTGAGGCCTGCTTTTTTTTTTTGAATTTTTGACGGCCCTCCGGCCGTCGATCATCCATGACGGCCAGAGGGCCGTTCGTTTTTGGAGGGAAAAGCAATGCCCCGTTTGAACATGCGATTGCCTGGGGCGGTCTGCATCGGCTTTCGAAACGGGGCCCCTCATCCAGCCGCCTGCCTTCGCTATTGCGTCCGTCCTTCGTCGAAGCAGCTGCGAGTCGTCGCCATTGCCTGGGACAGCCGTCGCCCGTAGCCCGTCGCCATCGCCATCGCCATCGCCATCGCCGTGACCCGTCATCGCCCCCCGTCGTCCATCGTCGTGCTGCTCCCTGCCAGCATCCACTGCCGCCCGTCGACGAAGACTGCCGGTCTGATCTTCTTCTTCTTCTTCTTCTTCTTCTTTTTCTTCTTCTTCTTCCCTCCTCCTCCTCCTCCTCTTATTCTTCTGCTGCTTCTTCTCTCCTCCTCCTCCTCCCCCTCTCATCTTCTTCTTCATCTTCTTCTTC